TCTAATGACATTTAAAAATTTGTGAATATAGTCATTTTCTCAAAAATACATTATTTATGTTAACATAATGGGTTTATGATATTATTTTAAATGAATAATATGTTTTAATGTTTAATGACCCACCATTTTATGACAGATATAGCAAAGCTTGAAACAGCAAGTAGTAAGACTTGGTGACTGAATGAATTAGGGTAGAAAAGCAAAACAACAACTTAGGTACTTGTGATGTAAGAAGATTTGGTGCCTAGAAAACACTGAGATAAAAGATGATATAATCTTAATGGAATTGGTTACTCACAGCAGAATTAATTGCCATAATATGAGCTGACAAAAAACTCATTCAACTAAAAATATCGGATTTTATAAGGGCTCAATTAGAATTCCAGCATATTACCAAAAGGCTGCCTTTTATATTCACACTTAATGGACAGGTCACATGTCTGCCCAGTGCCGCCTTGCCTGGGATGGGACAGAACAACTGATGGGGTCAAATTAGAGATTCATCCAAGGCAGAGTGAGCGTAGACTAAGGCTAGGGGAAGTCCCTAGTCCCATCTGCAGAGTCCCAGCAGGACTGAATGTATTCGATCCCTCCGCAGGCATAGCAGTAATTAAAGCTCTGGGGTCGTGAAAGCTATGGAGGCAGACTATTTAAATTATCCCCTTCTTAATTGTATAATCTTGCAAAAGGTTTACTGAACCTCTTTGTGCCTCATTTTCCTTAAAATGGGGATAATTATTAAATTATAGAGTTACTTTGAGGTTTATAAATGTGAAGCACTCAGAGAAGTGCCAAGAACAAGTAAGTACTTGCTAAATACCACCATTACACAGTGTTTTACATGAAATATGGAGGAAAAAAGACTAGTCTAATCTACAGAGTGGGGAGTGGAGAGTATGAGAAATCTAATAAAATACTAAAAAAGTTAATTATGAAATCTACAAGTTCCAGGATTAAAGAACCATAAGTGATCACAACTAAGGTTATAACAAAAAACACCTACCTCAAAATTATCATTTAAAAATGAGTATATGGTAGATTTGGTACGGATTTTGGATTCAGAAGCATTTACTGAATGTTTTCAAAACCAATACATTTCTTTCATGGCTATGAGAATAAAAATATATCCTCAACTAACAATTATGGGGCAAGGCAATATATTTTTCCTTTTTTTTTTTTTTAATAAAAAAGCAAAATTAAGCCAGGTATGGTGGCATGTACCTGTAGTCCCAGCTACTTGGAAGGCTGAGGCAGGTATTGCTTGAGCCAAGGAGTTTGAGTCTAGCCTGGGGAAGACAGCAAGACCCCATCTCTTAAAAAAAAATTAATAAAGGAAAGCTACAAAATATTGGTAGCTATATTAAAACAACTACATAAACAACGGCATTTACATCTTGACTCAAAGTAAAAAAGAAAAATATAAGCTGAATGGAAAACCACTCAGGAGCCAAAGAGCTATCAGCCTCTGTGAGAGCAAAGTCCAGAGAGGGGTGGTAGTACCAGGCTGGAGAGGAGCAGGGGGTGAACAGCCTGCAGTGATGGTGAAATACTTCTCTCCACAAAGCACTGGGGGGCAGGATGAAGGACTCTGGAGCCTTGGCCTGACTAGGGGCAAGGCGGAGTCATCCAAACAGCTTCCTGGGACTGCTCCCATTCCCACCTCACATCGAAGACACGTGGAAACTACAGCAGGGAGTGTGCAAAATCATCCCACAAAATAAATTGGCAGTTTGAGGTAGAAAACATTTGAAAGAAAAGAGGTAGTCTGGAAACTGTTGTCAGTTATGTCAACACACGGCAAAGAACTTCCATAATTTTACTTCTGCAAGTCACTCCCACACTTCTGCAGGGCTTCTACCATCAAACACAGAGAGCCAGCCTCAGGTCATAAACCACCAGCGAAAATAGCTGTCCTAAACCCTCAGAGCAGATAGAGAAGGCTGCAGCAGCCTGATCACAGCCTGAGGAATGCTCTTTCAGACAACCAGCTTTGTACTTCCATCTGCCTCACTGACAGGACAAGCACTTCCACGGCGATCAGGAAGAAATGAACTTTTATACACAATCTATGCTTCTAATGTACTCCAAACCAGCTCAGGCACTCTTTACAGGCAAAGGAGGGGTGGGGAGGAAGTTTGGTGAGTTGGGAAACAGAGAGAAGACTGCTCATCTGTGTGAGCTAAACGTTACACTTCCCTTGAGCAAACCTTATGGCTTGAATGGGTGAAATACTTAAGACTTACAGTGATTACTTATGAGAGAAAAAGGCAGAGAAGGAAAAAGGTGCCAGGAAGATTCTAAATTGTGATCTTTTCTCAAGAACAAATTCTTACCAAGAATAAAATGAATGTATCAACTTACCTGGAAAATATCTGTCTTATCTTCAAATAGACTGACAAAATATTTATAGTCAGCATAAGCCCAGAATCTGGAATGATCATAATCTCTAAATGGTCCAGGAACACTAGACTGGTCACAGTTCCAGGTCAGAAACTCTTCAAGTGTAGCTTCTACATAACTACATGTAGTTTCGAACTGAGGAACTGCAATGTAAGAAAACGCAACTTTAAATGTAGAACGAACACATTTTCCAAATATTGTTTTTTTTTAAATGAAGATAATTTTGACAAAAAATTAACTATATTTAACATTAATTAAAAATTATTTTTGTACTTGCTATATAATTAGAACCATTTATAACACAATACTCATGATTAAATATGAAAGTATAAAACATGGTTTTAAACTTAAGAAAACTATCCATATAATAGCCTGATTTAGGAAGCCAGTGGAATACTTCATATTATCAATTCTCCAAGACCTCTCCAGGTCAAAACTGAGAGGTCAAAACTCTTTTCATAATAATACTATGACATTATTTGCCTTTTTCACTCTCATTCTCCCACGAGTGTACTGTAGAGTTTTCCAGAAGCTACAAGTTGATGTCACTACTCTGACAGCTAGTGGAATAAGTGCTTAGGTTCTTATGTTTTAAAATGTCTCCATTTTAGTTTCTAATATGATAAGTATCACTAGATATAATCCACATCAGCAAAAGCACGTTAGGGCAGTCAATAATTTTTAAGTGTTTAGGGATCCTGAAATCATAAAGTTTGAGAACCACTGCTTTGGGTTAAATTGAAAAAGCAACAACAAAAAAACTTTTATTCTTTCATTTATTGTTGAAATAGCCTAGGCAGCTATAACTTTCATCCACTTACTCTAAAGTTTTCTGACATTATACTGCATATTTATCACACACAGCTCCCTCAGAATCATTAAGTGGATAATGGCAATTTCAAGTCTGTTCATTTATTCATTAAGTTACTTATTTCAGAATCATTTATTAAGTACATAATTTGTAATTACCATTGTGCTCAGGCTTGTAGGAACATAAAAGAAATAGATGATACTCTTGAATTTAGAATATATTTAGATAAAGATAAAGCTTTAACTAGAATAAGAGAACTTCAGGCACTATATAATTAAATGTAAAATTCTGTGCCACAGACACTTAGGAAAAGGCAAAGACCACCAGAGATGATGGCTGATCAGGAAAGCTTCAAGAAGAGGTCTATTATGTGTCCACAGTGGTTTGTTTTTTTGGGTGTGGCTCCAATGAATCAAGATTGAAGTCATAGATTGACATATGAACTGTTCTTCTAAAACAGTGATGAAATTAATTTTTTTTTTCAAACTAGCAGAATATTTTAAGTGAATATAGGGAAGTTAATATTTAAGAAATCTGATTATGGGCCGGGCG